GTACATTTTGTTGAAATTCTAACTGGTCTCTGCCACTCATTCTTTTAACTTGTAGAATAAGGTAAAATGCAAATTAAACCTGAGATATCACTGGAGGCAAAAATGACAAAACTGAAGCTGTCCTACTTCGAGCACATCAGGAGAAGGGAACGTTCTTTGGAAAAGACAATAATGCTGGGAAAAATAGAAGGCAGCAGGAACAGAGGAAAACCAAATATGAGATGAACTGACTCCGTAACAGAAACCATAGGCACGAGTCTACAGGAGCTGAGCAGGGCTGCTGAGGACAGGACACTGTGCATATCACTCATTCCTAAGGTCACCAGGAGTCAGAGCCAACTCAGCATGTAACACACACAAATGCCTTATGTATAAATTACAAATTCTAAACAAAGTAAAAGTTGAGATATTTCTGAAAATAAACCCCAGTGCATATCAGATCAGCATAACTTCCTTCTCAAAAAGGCTGCCTTCATGGACTTATACTAGTAATGATATCAGATAATGAAGTGGACTGGTGGATGGGCAAATTAGAACTTGCATCTTTTTAGTTGTTTGAGATGCTAACATTACCTTACCATGTCAGGTAAATTTACTTGCCCCTTTACTTTTAAGTAAGAGAAAAACCTGGTTGGGAGATTGGAAGTCATGCATTGGCCTTGCCCAATTGAACACCAGAAGCTAAGCCTCACCTCTTCTGCTTTGAGGCAAAAGGGCTTGTTGAGGCTGGGGAAGTGACCGGGACCACACTTAGTGCCCCGAAACAGTGGCTGCACAACCTATACCAGTTTTCAGCGTGGTGGTGTTTGCAGCCCACTTATCCCAACTCATAACCCTTGAACTGTTAGAACCTAAAGTGCTGTACAATCGTTCCTCCACTAGAAAAAAGAGAATGAATGGGTGGACACTGCATTAGTATCCTGGGGCTGCCGTAACAAATTACCACAAACTGGATGGCTTAAAACAATAGAAATTTATTCTGTTCAAAAATCTAAAAGTCCAAACAAAATAAAGGTGTGGGCTGAACCATGATGCCGATGCAGACTAGGGAAGAATGCTTCTTCCTAGCTTCTGGTGGTTGCCAGCAATCCTTGGTATTTCTTGGCTTGCAGCTGCTTCACTCTGATTTCTGCCTGTCTTCATTTGGCCTGCTTCCAAATTTCCCTCTTATGATTACCAGTCACTGAATTTAGAGCTCACCTTAATCCAGTATGACCTCAACTTAACTTGATTATATCTGCATAGACACTATTTCCAAATAAAGCCACATTACAGGTCCTAGGGGGGACACTATAGACCTCAGGACGCTTGACTTAGGGTAAGATTCACCCAAACACGGGCAAAAGGGAAATGTGAGCATTTCTAATTCTTACTGGATGTGAACACTAGGGAGTTTGACAAACTTAATTACATTTGTCTTCTTATAATTTGATCCAGAACATTTATTAAGCAGTGCTTGATAATTATATCCTATGGCTAGTTTCTCTCATATCAAACATTTAATTTTGGTTGCCTTAGGAGTAAAGCTGAAAACATGAAAAAAAATGTAAAGTTTCTTCATTTTCACAGTTTATAATAAAAAGTAAAAATTTCTTACCTTAGCTATTTCTCTCACAATTTTCTGTCATGAAAAGGGAATGAGTTAGGAACTCGATGTAACAGAGCACTAGATCTGAGTCCTGGGCCTGGCACTGCCAGACCAGCATTCTGCCCCTGTGTTCTCACCTGGAAAGGGAGTCAGTCCACTACGGTCCATGTGCCATTTGGCTTACTGCCTGTTTTTATTTTTAAAAAAGTTTTATTAGGGCAGAGCCACCATGCTCATTCACGTAACTGTCTCTGGCTGCTTTCCCACTACAACTGCAGAGTTGCACAGGTCCAGCAACGGCAGTGTGGACCACAAAGTCTAGAATATTTACCATCTGGCCCTCTACAAATAAGTTTGCTGACACCTGATAAAAAACATGGGCTTTCACCAGAAAAAAATTCCAGAAATCTCTAGACTCTAGTGCTCTGACACAGATCTGAGGGAGGTTTTTAAGTCCACAAGTGCCAGTGAGATGGCATGGATAGTTTTGATATTTTGCATTTTAATATTTTAGTCAGATCTTAAAAATTTTAAATCCCATAAGGTAATTTTGCAATGTTTGGGTTTTATATTTCAAGTATAGACATAAAGTCATGGATGTTTCAATGCTGCTGAAAAGGCTCTGTTCTGTTATTTTAAACAGCAGGCAATTGAAATTAGATAAAATTCTCTTGGCAGCCAATTATATTTAGAAACATTAAACCATATGGATTATTTAAAAATGCCAAGATTTTATTAAAGGCATATTAATGAAGTCGTAGAACTTGCCATTTTTACAAGGTAACAAATGGTTTTGTGGGCTTCTGGCTTGGGTTTTCCTTGGAATATGAGAGTACACTCAGCCAACCTGTCCCCTTGGAATAGCAGATAATGGCATTTACATTGTTGTCCAATTTCAAGATTTTCCCTTGTAAATCTACTAACATAGTATCCTTTGGGAGACACAGCATTGTAAGTGTCTCCTCTTTTCTTTTTCAGCCGGACACGCAGTATCATCATTCATGTGCTGTTGAGTGTCCTCATCAGGCCCGACCTGGTAGGGGATCTGCAGGGACAGGTGGGGCCATGACTGATATTTTACTACTATGTTAAGACCCTGCCTTTATCTTTTTTTCTTCTATGCTTATTTTCTTTTACTCTGGATTTTATTATATTTTGTTTTCCTACATCTTTGTAAGTCACCTCAAATTCACTTTGGGAAATGGGGTATAATAAAGACAGAGAAGAACTCTATAGTTCAGAGCCACAGAGTTCCGGAATTGTTTCCTCACATGTAAATTAACCTCTCACCACTCTGGCAAAGTAAACAATATTTTTTTTTAAATCTAAAAAAATTCAGCCAAATAAATTACTGTCATAACATTCAAACACTGCATTGTTATTATGTAGGCAAAACCCATATGCTATAGATTAAGCTGCTTAGGTCAAGTTAACCTGCTAGGCAAAGGTAAGACAAAAGAAATTCTAAAATGTCAAGATATGCTGAGTCTGATTCTATCCCACTTACTTTCTGACTTCTAAGTTATATTCTGTAGTTTCTATTTTCACATGAGTGATGGGAGAAAATTTAAAAATGTCTTAATTCTTCCTATAATGGCCTTCTTACCACCGTCAGGTCATTCTCACTATGTTGTAGGTGAAATTTAGAAGAGGGGCAATTGATATGTTTGCTGTTAATAAGATTAATCAGCTAGTATGTTAAAAAGTAATCTGCCTCAAATGATCTCTGTAGTTCAAGTGAATTCTCTTAGTTCCATTCTTAGTGGCAGTAAGATAGTCTTTGAATGCTTCAATGGATTTTCTTCTTGGATCAGTCTTCATAGAGAGGCAATCCTATCTCTGAGCTAAGTTATTACATTCGGCCATGTTGATGGTCAGGTGTAACTAGGGTGACATTTAGTTAAGTGAAACACATTTTAGTCTTTTTCAATTAGTGGGCTCTTCTCTAAAACTAGGTTACTGCTTTCATATCTTAATAGTTTTATTTTTTTCCATAAAATATGCAAGGTATTTATTGCTTTGGTAAATACACACTTTACTACTTATTCCTAATCTCCAAATTTAAAGTCCAACTGATTATTGGAGCAAAAAAGTCTAGATATGAATTTGAGTTTACCAAATCGAGAATGTCTACTAATGTTACTCTACGCTGTCCTCTTTGTCTGACAGGTCCTCAATTACATGGCTCTACAAAATCTCAAAACAGAGGTGGACCCGTCTCTAGAACCAGGCAGGGACCATAGGGCAAATGAGAAGAACCTGCTTCAGGCTATAGGGAACACGTGGGAAGACTTCATAAATCAGCGTTCACTCATCGTGTGACGCAGAGTTTGTTTACAAGAAGACACCTTGAAACTATCTTCATGAAGATGTTTTGGTAAAACTGAGAAAACACCACTGTACATGCCAAAGATTACATGGGTACTGTTTCTATATCCAGTTACTGTCTTCTTTCAGCATTAAGTTAAACTATTCCACTAGGCAGTAAAGTTTGTACCCTAAGATGTAACAAAAGAATAACTACTCTCAGATCACTGCTCATGTTGTCTGTTAACAATGAACAGTTCAATTATAGAATTCTATGAGACTATACACAAACAAAAAGCAGCAAATGATTGATAACATTAAGTTATTAGCATTGGAATACTTCTGCTTATATTAATTTCTAGAGAGTTATATTCAGTTTTAAGTCATTTTTAGGAGACAGGGCTGTCAAAATCTGAGCTACTCATCAAACAGATGTCATTCCTAAAGCTTTCTCTTTACATGTTCAATCCCATAGGAAGGGGTAACTAAAGACAAAAATGTTAAACACTGGTGTAAAGTAACATATGCAATGAATCATAATGCGTATTACTTTTTTCAGATAGGACAGCTCAACCTCACAATGCCTGCTTGATATCAGGTTATGCTTCTTTTCTTAAAGTACTTTAGTGGTCATATTTTTTCCAACTATTAAACTCCACTTGCCAGATTTTTCTCCTGTAACTCTAAAAGTCAATTAAAAAATTTATAGAATCTTTCTATTAGTGAGCCAGTAAGATGCAATTCCCTAAAATTTCAGACACCTGGCAATTATTCCAGTATGAACATAAGAGCAGAAGTAGAGGACTTAGGCATTCTTCTGATTTTACCATGGACCTTTTCCTTAGTGTACTCATGAATGCAAGCAATGGTTTTAACTATGGCTTAAATTTATCTTATTTAAATTTCATTGAATTTTAATTTTGATGATCATACCAGCTCTAGATCTTATTGTTAATTTTCAAAGGGATAAAGTGATTATAAATTGGGGTAATTTTAATTTTTTTATTATATCAAAGTGTTCTAATGCTATTATATGAAGACAGATGCTTCAACCTGCATTAAATTTTATTTTAATACAAATAAAGAGTATTTTTAACTTGTTTATAACCACAAACTGAAAACGTCATGTGCTCATCTCTGATAAATTATACATAACAGAAGGCTTATTTCATGCATATGACATTGAATATATTAGTTTACAAATCAGAGATTTTAAGTTGTACATTCCCTAAAATATTTCCATATATTCTAATGAATACATATAATTTGACTACATCTAAGTGAAGATCTGTTCTATTACCACACATCAATACCATGAATGCATGAAAAGAAACCACTGATGAAGCCATCAGAGTTAGAGTGAAGAGTCAAGGAAGCCTCTAAAACTCAAATTTACCCAACCTCCCTCACCCTTTCCTAGATGAGAAAAAAAGTTCAGTGACCTGCCCAAGGATGTTCAGCAGTAACAGCCCAGTGATCATTAAAAACTTGTTATTTTTTACTTGTTTAATCATGTATAAGTCTTATAAAGATATTTGAAATAATGTGAACACCTGTTTCTCCTATACTTGAACCAAAGAGTACAAAACATGGTTGAGTAAAACAAACCAAAAGGAGAGGATCTATTCAAGAATATTATGACAGAAAGCAAACTGTCAAGTATTCGGAAGACAGATGTCCAGCAAGTGTTCTAAAGGCATTCTAGCTAGGCGGAGTACCAGTTCTAATAAACATGCACATCAGTCAGAATACTCTGCAGCTCATTTTGTGTGGCAAAATGACAGCTGGTAAAGGAAGTATGGACAGACCCAGATTCTAGATAAAGTTCTTTGTACAGAAGATCCACAGAAGCAAGTGCTGTCAGAAGTATACCAACCTTCCCCTTTCTCTCCCCTCAACCACCACCACCAAATTCCTTCATAGGACTTCACAGATACCTAAGATCAGGCTGAGAGATTCTGATTTACATGCTTAATCTGAATAATTTAGGTGGAAAAAGCAACTTAAGGGTTGAATTGACTTTTGTCTTCAAATCTTGACTGTACCTTTCCTACAATGGCATCAATTAACACCTAAGGATTTTTGAAGAGAAAATTCCATTATTTCTTTTCTTTCTTGAGAGCCGTTTTTTTCCCTCCTCGTTTGGAAGATTTGCAGTATTTTGCTTCCATCTGAGCCAGAAAATTGTCCATTTCCTTTTGCCGATCCTTTTGTCTGCTCTGTTTGAGAGTTAAAAACACAAGCTTTCAAAACACAAGACTATCCAAAGAGACAAAAGGGAGAATGGGGAGTAAATACAGATGGGTAAGGGGTTTCTCTGTAGGATGATGAAATGTTCTGACTTAGTGCTGATGGTTGTAGAACTTGATAAATATACTAAAAACCATTGAATTGTACACTTTAAAAAGATGAATATATGATATGTGAATTATATCTTAAAAGAAAAAAAAACAAACAAAATACAACACAATACATATACTCCAAAGAAAATATTAGCTGTAAGAATCAGAACATGAAAGAAATGGCGGCAACCTTCACAGACAGCCTGCCACAAGTTTACCTGAATGAGTGCTTTCAAGTTATCTTCTTCAAGTCCCAACTCCTTCCTGCTCAATTCTGCTTCTTTAGCCTCTTCCTGAGCCTAAAATACAAACTCAAATGAGATTCCACAGCAACTGTGTGTATGTGTGTGGGTGCGTGCGCCCTCTTTGCCAAAAGCAAATCTATAAGACCCTTTCAATTTGAGGATTATTTAGAATAAAGTTACACAAACATGTCATTCGTTAAAAGTCAAAATTGCTGAAAGCAAGCGGTATACCCTGATACCAGTAAGCATTTCTGAGTTTTCTCCATTTCTACTTGTTAAGGGTAGCAAGTAGTTTGGTATTAATGACCACGTGGTGATAGGAAGGAAAACAAAGTGCTTAGAAAGCTAAGAAAAGTCACTTAAACCAAGGATGCCCTAAAAATTATTGCCAGGATACAGGCACCTCAGTCAGATTCCTCCTCTGGAAACCCAATTTATGGTGGCAGCCTTGAAAGCAACCCTGGTTTAAAATTTCTCAAGTAATCAGAATAAATGCTAACAAATTCAGTTCTAACCTTTCTTTACCTGATTTCAAAGCCACCTTTTTTGCTAAATTTTCTTAGGGCACTGATTCCAAAATACACTAGAATACCTTGGGAAAGGTTAATAAGTTGGTTCTTTCCTTCAGGGCAACAACTAAAACTATTAAGAGGTCCCAATTCCAATGGGTTTCCAAAATAGTAATAAATACTATTAATACTAGGAATGATGATACATTAGGATCTTGTTATCCCAATAAAGAGACACAGTTTCCAATGTCTACTTTCAGTTTTTGTATCCAGTTTCTTTTAATACTATATCCCTCTTCCCCAAGTTTGCTGAAGTCTCTCTCAATACTATGCCAACCCCTCCCCCCAAGGCTCTAGGAAAGGTTCTTGAGCTACTACTACTTACTGTGTGCTCAGTTTCACCGGAGAAAATAATCACCAACTTAAAATGTCAGCTTGAGTCTAAATAAATGTAGCCTATTGGCCAAAATGATAGCTCTTGATACAGAAATCCACTTCTCCCAACACATCAGCTTTCCCTTGTGTGTTATTTATTTTGTATCTAAGGGCTGCAGACCTACTTTCACTCCCAATCCAGCCATACCAAATAAGTTATCCACCTCAGGTACCCTCCAAAGATCTAAAATCTTACACTGTATGCTCTCCATGGAACTCTTATTATGAAAGCCAGGTTGAGGCAATGGTTACTTGAGTACCAGTCTGGTTTTCTCTGAAAGACCTGAGGCACAGGTGTTCACTACTTTGAAACTACCCCCTCCCAGATCCCCAGCTGTCCTTAAGCTCCTTTCCCCTACCATCACCAACTCCAGTTTAATATGGGTGTAAAGGACGTACAGGTCTCAATCCCCGATTCTCCAAAAAGCATTCCTCAAAGTGTGTTTGGAAAGACACCACCAAAATAAACCGAACAGTTTGTTTTAGAATATTCTGGCCCAACTCAAGAATCAATCAGGGCAAGAGCAAAGGAATCTGTATTAATGAAACACAGTATTTTTTTTTTTTTTTTTAAGACAGCTTCTGTTGTCCTCACTCACCCCCTTAATCAAGTGAGAACCACTGTCTAGCCTATGAATCTGGACTCCATTACTGAGAAATGCCCCAGGAAAGCTACAAGAACTCGTCCATATGAAGAATGTTCCAGTGTTACTTTAAGATGATAATTTTCTAAATAATCCACATAGTAAAATCCCCTTGAGCACAACATACTAGGGAGAATAAGCTTCTCTTGATGAACTGGTAATACTCATTTTATTAGAAGAGAACTACATAGCAAATTAATCCTTATCCTTATTTCAGTTATTTTGTCTGTATTTCCATTACTGTTAAATATCCTCAAATTGGTTTGGAAGCAGTCAAGATATAAATAATAAGTAGCATTCAAAGTCTTACCCTCCTTTTCCTAGCATTCATCTTTTGCTTCGATTCTTTGACAAAGATATTATAGGATGGGACCTCTCCAGCATCAATGGCTTGCTGAATAATGTTCCTTATCCTGGGTTCCTCTGTGTACTGCACACACAGCACAGACTCCATGATCTGATCCATGTCCCCTTTAAAGTCCAGATAGGCCTGTTTAATATCAGCCAGCTCTTCTTCAGAACCTTTGTATGTCTTTTCAAAAGCTTGAATGTCTTCTAGAGATATCTAAACAAATAAGAAACATATGCTTTAACTTTGAGAGTTTCATTTTTAAAGATATACAAGTAAAACTAAATTTAGTTGTTAAAATGCTGCCCTGGCCAGTTTGGCTCAGTGGTTAGAGCGTCGACCTGCAGTCCTGAGAGACCCGGGTTCGGTTCCCGCTAAGGGCGCGTACCTCGGCTGCAGTTTGTCCCCGGCCCTGGTCGGTCGTGCAGGTGGCAGCCACTCGATGTGTTCCTTTCATATTGATGTTTCTCTCTCTCTCTCTCTGTTCCTCTCTCCCCCTCCCACTCTACCTGAACAAAAAAATGGGAAAATGTCCTCAGGTGAGGATAAAAAATAAAAAAAAAAAAATGTTTCTCCCCAACCCCCTGGTATTAGGCAAGGAGACACCTTATTGGTGGAGTTGGTCTTATATCAATCAGGGGGGCAAAGCAGATGTACAATCCTTATTTCATCCTAGCTTGATGCCTGTATTGGTGGCCAGAGCTGTTTCATGCCTGAAGCACATAAAATTGTAATTCCTGGGTCTCTGAGGGGAAAAGATCAGAAACACTGGTCTCACAAGTAGATTATTAACAGAGGTTTTGGGAGGTGTGGTTTTAAAATATTTTGTGGGGCCCTGGCTGGTTGGCTCAGCGGTTGGAGCATCGGCCTGTGGACCAGAGAGTCCTGGGTTCAGTTCCCGCTAGGGGCACGTACCAAAAAATAAATTAAATAAAATATTTTGGGGGGGGTGTTGTGATTACTCTGTGGTAATGTAAGTGGTTCCAGTACAACTCCATTCTAGGCCCCTTAGGTCTAGAATATGCTTTTTAAGAGTGAACATATCACCTAACAGTTTTTGTGGCAGCTGTGCAATGTGACATGGATATGTGTTGTTCCACACATAAAACTGAATGCTATGAGATAAAATATAAATGGGCCACAATTGGATTTCAGAAAGTTTGTGTGGGGGTCTAGTATGGTAAGCCATATTAAAATTATTTCAGAGAGCAGTTATGGTGGCTCATATGTTCTCAGAAACCAGAATGTGTTTGAATTCAGTGTTGTTTTCATGAAAGTGCTTATCTGAATTGAGGGGGGAAGGACCATGAGAAGCACTTAAAGTGGGGCCTGGTACAGTTGTGGCTAATATATGAGCACTTACCTTTTTCTGGTTCAAAAAAAAAATGTTTCTCCCCAGATACAACAGTTGCATGAGTTGAAACTATTGCATGGAACCAAATTTTGTATGCCAAAGCTTTTCCAGAGTTCTCCCTAGTCCAACCTTCAAAGTTTCCAATGGTGTGTAGAGTGTATCCAGAGCCCAGAGAAACACTCAAGGCTTACATTTGAGTATTTTTTTTAAAAGCACATCTTGTAAAAAATTAACCCCTCCTTCCACTTCACTGCAAGCACTTACATCAACAAATAAGACCTATTTAAGTAAATGTGTGTATGTATACATCCAGAAAAACCACATGGTTCCACCTATCAGTTAAATACATTTGTTCTTCAGACACACAGTACATGATATCTCCTGAGGAGTGCCTCTGTGTTTGTGTATTTCAAAGCCAAATTCCCCTTCCTACACAACACAAAATGCAATGCCTCAGAGGCAGTAAATAAACGTTTGTTGAACAATGCGAACGAACAGTTGCGGAGAAGTCTCCAGAGTCTTACACCCTTTTGTTTTATTTATTTCTACCTTTTTAAAGAGCAACCTCCAATACGTCTCCCAGTCCCGATCTTGGTTGAGCACATCCGAATCCTCGTCCACTGTTCCCTGCTCATCGTACACTGCTCTCTGCTCTTTGTCACTCAGAACGGAATAGACTTTCCCAAGGATCTGCGAGGAAAGAGTATCCAAAGTCACCCTTACCCTTTCACGGAAACCGCGCCCCGAGAAACAGATTAGAAAACGCCAGGCCACGTCCCGGGCGAGCCACCCAGGTGGGCCAGTCAGCCGGAAGCCGGTGGAGCAGGGACTCGCGTACCTGGAAGCGGCGGGTGGCATCCTCCTTGTCGTCCTCACCCACCCGGTCCGGGTGCACTTGCAGGGACACCTTGTGGTAGCCGCGTCGCACCTCGCCGTCCGAGGCCTTTCGCCGCACACCCAACACCCGGTAAAGGTCGGCAGTGCCGAACACTTCCTCGCACTGCTCCAGCAGCCCCATGGCCCGCAGAGGTGCTAAGTTGGCAGAGCCTCCTCGAAAACAGTGAGTCCAGCAGCACTCAAGTTCCGAACTGCTTCCTTTTCCCGCGCAAAACGCCCAGGCCGCCGGCGTCACAAGAGGCGCAGGAAGGGGCGTGGCCACGACACCGCACTTTACGGCGTCTGCAAAGTGGAGCCTGGAAGGGCTAGCGAGCTTTGAAGCGGGGAGGCGGGCGTCCTAATTTCTCCTACCGCGGGAGCCACCTTACTCGGAGAAAGCGGAAGTAGCCTGTAGCCGCCACGCCCCCTCCCCCGCTGCGCTCCTCCCCTTACTCCATAAATCTGGCGCCTATCTTCTCCCATTGCGGAATCTTTTTCAATACGTGGAAGTCCCTATTAGGTTGTTTGTTTTTTAGCAAAAAACCAGCATGACATCGATATTTGGCAGTTCACACGACTCACATATATGTTGTTTTTTCCAAAGAACAATAATTAAATAGATTTGTTCTTTTTCAAAGATGCTCCTGACAAGAGTACATAGAGCTCTAAGGCCCAAATAATTTTGCAACCTACAGGGTGGGACTGCTGGGTAGGTACTTCCCTTGAGCCCTGCAAGAAAAAATTCTACATTAAACAAAAAGCAGAAAATAACAGGTCTTTAAAAAATTATTTATCTGATAGGACTTACAGATTTGACATTACAGAATCATTCCCATTCACCTCCAGCTCCTGAACCACCTTACACTTTGGTGGCGATAAGATGACCCAAACCCCCATCATAATAAAAATGTAAGCTGCTGAAGCAAAGGCTTTTTCTTTCTTTTTAAATGCTTTCTAAAGTACAGAGCTGATTTTGATTATATTAGATTGGAAGGTGGTAGCCAGACAAGCCGATGCAATCAACCAAGACATGGCAAGAAATATGTGCCGGAAAAAAAAAGAATGTGTGCCAGAAGACCCAAAGCAAGCTAGGGATAGAGAAAACTTGGGAAATCAGGGATAGGAGGAGCTGACACAGGAAATATGGCTGTACAAATTTTAGACAAAGGACAGACAAGGGCACAAAGTGGATGAAACTCGGTAGCTAAAAAAATACCTTACCTTAACCCATTTCATAGTAGTTCCCCTCACTGATCAGTACTTTTCAAAATCATATTCTCTTCTGCTCTACCAATTAAAGCTTCTCCTATCAAACTCTCCAGGGTATCTTTTTTTTTTTATCCTCACCCGAGGACACTTTGCAATTTTTTGTTCAGATAGAGTGGGGAGGGAGAGATAGAGAAACATCGAAGTGAAAGGGACACATCGAGTGGTTGCCACTCACACGACCCAACCAGGGCCAGGGACAAACTGCAACCGAGGTACATGCCCTTAGTGGGAACCGAACCCAGGTCTCCCTGGACTGCAGGCTGACGCTCTACTGCTGAGCCAAACCGGCCAGGGCTCCAGGGCATCTTTTAAACTTTCAGAGTTCCTATCATTTTCAAAGCTTTCCCTTTTCCATATCTAAGATCAAACCCAGGTAAAGTCAGTTCCTGTCTACTTGCCCTGCCTTCCAAGTCTCCTCTTCTCAAAAGAAGTGGAGGCCAACTAGCAACAATCCTGGGGAGACTTTGATGAACCCACAATTTGAGGTGGCTGTTAATTGTTCTGAGAATATAAAATCCAGAGGATAAAAAAAGTTGGAACATTCTTAGGGCTTTAGAATCTCCCCTATAAATCCCCTATATCCTAGTCTTATGCCAGAATTTGAAATCTGTATTATCCAGTGTGTGCACTAAAACCATTTAATCTGTGCTTGTGGTTGTACAATCCTGAGGTTAGGGTGGAGCAGATAATGTAATAGTGATACCTCGGTTCTCGAACATAATTCGTTCCAGGAGGACGGTCGAGAACCAAATTGTTCGAGAACCGAAGCAATGAAACCCAATAGGAAATAATGGAAACTGGATTAATTCGTTCCAAGCCCCAGAAAATGCCTATTTACTGGCCTAATTTGTATATAATATGTAGAAAAACATAAGTCTCAACAAGAAATAAAAGTGTACAGTATGTCTAAGGGTTAAATTCAGTGTAAAGCGTGACTCTCTCCACAAAGCGTGACTCTCTCTCTGCACTCACACTGATGATGCAAGCAAGGCGCACTGGGCCGAATGAACGCCATTCGGCTCAACTCGGCTCATCTCGGAAGTTCGAGTTCCAAATATTTGTTCGGATTCCAAGACAAAAGTTTCTCGAATCTCCTGGTCGAATACCGATTTGGTCGAAAGTCAAGGCGTTCGAGAACCGAGGTATCACTATTTTATTTTTTTTTTGGCACAGCCAGTCATTTATAGTCCCATACTCATGATCCCTGATTCTATCACTGACTTTTTAAGTGGAGATATGAAAAAGCCCTTCATCCGTATTACTCCACTATAAATACATATCAGAAAAGGTTTTCCAAGTAGGCACATTGGGGTCTGAATCTTAGCTCTGCCAATATTAAACTGGCTTTGGGCAAATTTCCACCTCTGAACCTCAGCCTACCCCTTTATAAAATGGAGATAATCCTACCCACTTTTGTGATACCTTATAAATCTCACAACTTTGCACGCAACGGGCCTGGAATGTATGTTGGTACTTTACAATATTAGCTTTTTCCAGTTTCTCATTCTTAAACATGGACTATTACAGCCTCATAACAAATCTGCTTTTGTAAATTTGAGATTATGTGTTAAACAAGACAATATAAATCTGCAATTACAAAAACAATAAGCAAAGTAACCGTGTTCTTGAACTGATGGGATGACCATAAATGATTAAGGAAGGAATTACTTTGACAAGCCATGGACATGTTGGTTGGGGACTGAAACAGGGAAGTTTTAGAAGGCAGCAGACTGTAAAGTTGTCTAAAAGACCCATGACCCAACCCAAAATTCCAACCCAGTGCACTGCCACTGTGTTTCCCCAGACAAGGCTGAAAAAGTTAACTAGTACCTAAACTCAGCCCTGTGTCACACAAGAACAAATCTCTCCCTGGGGCCTGCTCAGGCCAAGCCAGAAGAACATGGATGACACGGAAAACATCATTTATTGACCTCTAAATCTAATAAAACTAAGAACTCTGCATAAGTGTTTTAAGAGGACTTTGACCTTGTTCATGCTACTATGCTCACTGAAGTCAGCTTGCTTTTGTTTCTGTAGCCTCTGTATCTGTTTTCTGAGATGCTAAGAGGAGTTCACGTGCCAGTTTCCGTCGCAGCCTCTCAGCATTTGTGATCACCATGGGATGCAGAGGGAAAAAGCCAGAAAGACCTAAAAGCAAGAGGATTGTCATTCATTACAACACAGTACAAGCCAATGTTTCCCTGGGAACTCAGGCTCACATAACTGAAGTCTAACAGAGACCTGAACTAGAGCATGGATTTAAAACATGCTCCTCGCCCTGACCGGTTTTGCTCAGAGATTAGAGCACTGGCCCACAGTTGGGTTCCCAGCCCTGATTGGGGTTGTGCAGGAGGCAACCCTTTGATGTGCCTCTCTCATATCAATGTTTCTCTCTCTCTCTTCCTCCCACACTATCTGAAAAAATCAATGTAAATATATCCTCAGGTGAGGATTAAAAACATAAACTGACAGCCATCTAAGACACACTATTCCCATTTTTAGCAGAAAATCCCAGTCACCCAAAAAATCTCATGGAGTCCACAAAAGGTCTCCAGATTCGAAATGGCAATTAGAGATCACAACTCCACCTCTCTCTCACTCAAGTCCTGAACAGCCTACAGGTAATGAAAATCATTCTTAATCTTCATCATCTTGTAATTGACTTCAATTTAAAATCCTTAGGTTAAGTTAGAGCCAAGTTACCCAGAAGCTTTTCCACAGGTTTGGAGAGATGGGCCCCACAGCCGATCCAGTGCCGGATCCGGTCCAGGTTGAGAGCAACGAGCTTCTCTCCATGACTGTTCGGCAGTGGATCATAGGAGCCTAGCTGCTCCACAAAACGGCCATCCCTGGGATACTTGTTGTGAGCAGCCACGATGCGGTAGAAAGGCCGGTTGGTACAACCACCCAGGGCAAGACGGATGGTTAAGTGGCCCCCATGGTAGGCCTTGTGGAGCAGAGTAGCTGTAGAGAAATAAGTGGTTAAGACACAAGAACCGAGGGCACAAAATGGGTAAAATGGGGTAAGAAAAACAATCCTCTTCCTCCAGTGACAATCCTCTCTACCCAATTCTTGGCAATCTGGCTTAGAAAAGACCTCTGTGAAACCCTTGTTATGCACTCTGGCCAGAAATGACTTCAGCTCCAATCCATCCACTCGGCACAGGCCTGACATTTACTAGTTCTGTGACCAGGTAGGATGCACGGCTGCCTCAGCTACAAAATGAGTGCTACTTATGTTACAGGGTTTCAGGGGGAAGTGAGAAAAACTGAGGAAGAGGATCCAACGTAAGGCCGTGCGGCCGTTTCAGGTTCGGGTTGCCTCCAGCTCTCTTAGGACTGCGCTGCGGCAGCCGGTCCTACACGCCCCCCAGCGCCCGCGATCGCCCGGAAGGTCTCTCGGGGTCGCTGCCACTCACTGAGCTGGACCATGGTGCAGCCGGCGAGCGCCAGTGGCAGTTCCTCCCAGCGTCCCGTCGCCCGCAAGGCCCGGCTCTATCGCCTACGGCGGGGCGGAGGACGGACGCGCAGGGTCAACGCTGCGAAACCGCGGGCATCGCCGCGCCGCGCCGCGCCGCGCTCACAGACCCAGCGCCTCGGTGCCGGAAGCGAAGGGTCCATTCGCCCTGCCCTTTCCGCTTCTCGCCCCTACATCTCCCATAGTGCAACACGGTGAACTCTGATGTACCTCACGTAAACTGCCGCAAAAAAGGACGTTGCAATTTGCGGGTAGCCGGGTGGCGGCGTAAGCTTCGCCTTGTGGGCGCTCGCGGCCCGTGCTGGCCTGAGTCCCTAGTGGAGGGAGCAGTTCCCGGAGTATCCCGGGAGCGGCCAAGAGCAGCGCTCCAGCGCTCCACCAGTCCTTCCTTCCAGCAAAGGTTTTTTGAGCAGCTGTCAGGGCCAAGGCGCAGTCCTGAAAACGCGAAGATGAAAGGGCGCTGTCCTTACCCGCAGGAAGCTCAGAGTCTGGTGGGGAGTCAGTGAGGTGACACCAGACTAGAAAAGGACTATAAATGAATGTCGAGTTTATACTTCTGTGTTTACTAATATGCCCCTCACCTTCCCTCCTATTCTGCCCACCGTCTCTAAAAAATAAAGGAGGGGGGGCCTTTATTCCTGGTTTTGCTGTGCCGTGATCCAGGAGAACAGGGGTGAAGTATGGTCCCTTTGTCATCTTTCGCCCTAAAATAATGACCTCAGTTGTGAGTTTTGCATCGATGAGAGGATAGTGTAGTATTCACGGAGCCCTTGTGCTTTAGATCCATCAAGATACCAATGGTTAGTCAGTACCTACACCTTAAGCGAAGACTTGTTTAGCATCTCTGTTCACCGTTGCATCCAAAGGTCCTGGCCACAACTAATATGCTCTTTGCCCTAATATAGTGACCCAGCACAGCTTTCTTCCTTTAGTTCCACCTTAGAAAGTGGTGTCTTAATCCCCTAGTTCCAGTAAGTAAACGTGGCCAGGGACCTTAGCAGTTGACTTCCTACAGGAGTGATCCTGATTAGCTTTCACCAGAAACCCTAGTACCTTGATTGTATATAATTATATTATGCCTCAGTATACCTTAACTCCAGAACCACACTGATGAATTTTTAATCTCTCATTTCCACTTTTTATTGTCATCCAGTTCACTGTCAACAAGAACAACCAGTAACATCTGATACCCAGTAAGCTAGCCAATGGAAATAAAGGAATGGGTTTCTGTTCATGGCAAAGATTCTTTTGTTCTTTATCCCCAGGTCTCATAATGGTGAAGCATCCACGGTTTAATTTCTCTGGGGAGGAAAAGAGCTCAGAGTCCCATACAGAAAATTCTTCAGCTGGAAGGATGTCAGAAAGATGGATTTCCAAAGCCAACAGTCTCCTGTAACATGTGGATCTCTGCAAGCAGAGTCTCATCTTTCAAATTTAGCTGCAACAGAGGAAGGAAGGGGACACATATCTGATATACCTGTGTGGAGACCCCACATTTCTGGGGCCACGGCTAAACAACATAGTTCCTTGGGATGAAACTGGCTATATTCTCTATTTCACGGTAACTCCATTAAAAGACCTTAGAACGTTGTACTGGTTACATGGATATTTTCACTTTAGGAAAATTCATCAGGGCATATGAACATTCATAGTTTGTGCATTATTCATAAAAGAACTTGAATGAAGTTTATTTTTTAAAGATTCACATTATCACCCAATATATCTTGACTAATGTATACTATTCCTATTTGGCAAGTGACATAAAGGAATCAAAGACATTAGATCTGAATTTAATTTTAGAATCTTAGGTGTGTAGTAGAGACATCTGGTTACCTCCTGAATACCCACTATCTACTTTCTTTACAAAAAAAGTCTTCATTTCTTTTCAGGGCAGCAGTTCAGCCAGCTAAAAAGCCACATTTCCTGCATGTGGGAAATTGCAAAACTTGCAAGGGAAGTTTTATGAGCAATGTGGCCAATAAAATGCAAGTTGAAATCATTGCTCATTAAAGGAAGGTGAAATAACTAGCATGACCCTTTATCCTTACCCCCCCCCCCTTTTTGTTAATTTTAGTTTTTTATTGTGCCTGAAACATGAATATAGTGGCTGGAGCTACAATGGCTGTCTTTCAACTCTGAGGGATGGAATCTGTATGCAAAGATTGCTGGAGCAGAAAGGTAGAAAGATTTGGGTCTCTGATAATATTGTGGAGCTGTGGTACCAGCCCTGAACTCTTCATTAGATGAGAAAAATAAAACTCCTAATTTGTTTATGCCACTGTCTTTCAAGTAGCTTACAATTCGTAATTGATAGAATAGACTATACCAGGGGTTGGCAAACCATTGCTCATGAGCCAAATCTAGCACTCTGCCTGGTTTTGTAAGTAAAGTTTTATTTGAAACACACCCATGTTTGAAAAATGATTTGTCTATGGCTGCTTTTTCACTACCAGTCAAAGTACAGTAGTTGCAATAAAGGCTCTTTATACCACAATGCCTAAAATATTCCCTATTTTGCCATTTACAGGAAAAATTTGTTAACCTCTAGACTAGACCAACACCTTTATTTTACATATGAAGAAAATGAGTCCCAGAAAGGTTAACACAGTAGGTTAATGGCAAAACTAGGACCATAATTCAGGTCTACTGACTCCCAGACCATCTGTTTTTTCATTAAACCACATTCTCTAAAGAGGTATAAGAAGATCATCCCCCATGGTAATATGTGGGTTATTATTCCACACCCAGCAGCCATATGATAATGGAAAAGATGGTAAGAAAAGCCTCTAGAAAAATATTCACATCATGAAATGCCATAATGTTCTGAATTAAGCCAGTACCTTCCTCCCAGTTTCCTAACCTCAGTACAGTGCAAACAGCAGAGGCATCCATATCATACCTTTTTTGTGTACTTGTAGGCTTGCTCAGCTTCCAGTTGCCGTCCAGCCTGAAAAAACAAAACAAAAACGTAGCAGCTGGTGATAATGATATATCACAAACATTATGGTGGAAAAGTCCATTGCCAAAAACTTCTCTACCTAAAACAGAGGATTCTATACCTTCTTCATTAAGAACCTGTGAATTCAAAGGTGAAGCAGAAAAATGAAAGATGGTAAGGAAAAACATTTATATATTGCATATATCACTTCCTCATTTCAAAAACCTTAAAGATAACTTGATCTCATTGAAAAATGGTCACAGGATAGAAATATACAATTTGTTGAAATTATAAAAATTATTAAAAATAAATGTATGAAAAGAAGTTCTGCCTCATTAGTAATCATGAAAATGCGATTTAAAATAATGATGTGACACACAGTCTTCGCGGAGAGTCGCCGTGGTTTCCTGCTTCAACAGTGCTTGGACGGAACCGGCGCTCGACCCATCCCCCTCAGCCACCTGACCGCCTTCGGCCACCTCCTCACCACGCCTTGGACATCCCCAAGGCCCCGCTCCAGCGCCGCGCAGCCGCCCCTCCTTAGCCGCCCGCCATGACGTCCACCGCGTCCACCTCGCAGGTGCGCCAGAACTACCACCAGGACTCGGAGGCCGCCATCAACCGCCAGATCAACCTGGAGCTCTACGCTTCCTACGTCTACCTGTCCATGTCTTACTACTTTGACCGCGATGATGAGGCTTTGAAGAACTTTGCCAAATATTTTCTTCACTAATCTCATGAAGAGAGGGAACATGCTGAAAAACTGATGAAGCTGCAGAACCAATGAGGTGGCCGAATCTTCCTCCAGGAAATCAAGAAACCAGACCGTGACAACTGGGAGAATGGGCTGAATGCGATGGAGTGTGCATTGCACTTGGAAAAAAATGTGAATCAGTCACTACTGGACTTGCACAAACTGGCCACTGACAAAAATGACCCTCACTTGTGTGACTTCCTTGAAACTCACTACCTGAATGAGCAAGTGAAATCCATCAAAGAACTGGGTGACCACGTAACCAACTTGCGCAGAATGGGGGCTCCTGAAGCTGGCATGGCAGAGTATCTCTTTGACAAGCACACCCTGGGAGACAGTGACGAGAGCTAAGCCTTAGGCTGGCTTCCCATAGCCAGGGGGGTGACTTCCCTGGTCACCAAAGCAGTACGTGCATGTTGGAGTTACCTTTACCTTTTCTATAACTTGTACCAAATCATCCACTTACATCTTTTCATTTGTACCATTCCTTCAAATAAAGTAATTTGGTACCCCCCCCCCCAAAATAATAATAATGATGTGACAAATTCATACCCATCAGGTGGGCAAAAATTAGTCTGATATTTAACAACATTGATAAGAATTCTCATAATTGCTAGTGGATATAAATTAGTATAACATTACTCTGTTCCCCTTTGTAATTAATATATATCTTGTGGGGATATACTTTGAGTCTACGTAAATGTCTTCTTCTTACTCCTTAAACATTCATCCCCAGTGTCAGTGTATATTGATGATTGTTCCCTAAATTAATTATTACTATGGTGGTTTCCAAATTGTGATTTTCTAATTCCATGACTCCTTATACATTTAATAGTTGGCCTTCTACTGTAAGCTTTCCTCTTCTACATTTACTTGTTTAATTATATTACTGTGGACTCATACTTTCTCATTTAGAATCCTTTACTATAATTATTTATTTTGATACTCAAATTGCCCCAAACAGGGCCAATCTGAGCCCCCTTTAAGCTAGTTCCTTTGTCTTTTTCCCTGTGTGTTTTTGACATCTCAGTCTTTGAATACTTTGTACTTTGATTCAGAAAAGTATTCCAGACTCATCTACTATCCCTGACTCAGTCCTAAAATCATCTATTTTCCAAGCAGTCTCTGATTCCTTTATTTTTTTTAAAACTGGACAAATGTCCTAGTGTCTTTTTCTTTCTTTTTTTTTTTTTTTATCCTCACCCGAGGACATTTTCCCATTTTTTTGTTCAGGTAGAGTGGGAGGGAGAGAGAGGAACAGAGAGAGAGAGAGAAACATCGATGTGAAAGGAACACATCGAGTGGCTGCCACCCACACGACCGACCAGGGCTGGGGACAAACTGCAACCGAGGTACGCGCCCTTAGCGGGAACCGAACCTGGGTCTCTCAGGACCGCAGGTCGACGCTCTAACCGCTGAGCCAAACTGGCCAGGGCCTAGTGTCTTTTAATTAATTTAAAAACACACTCTGGAGCACGAGGTACACTCATGCCCCACACTTTGTATAATATACATTCTACATGTATTATATACAATATATATTAACTATCAAATCATGACCCCATATGAGTATCTCCAACTCTAATCTACTACAAGTTCATTTTATTGTCCCCATTTCTATATTTGTAATTCTCTGAAAGTGATAAAACTGGCTCCCGCTATCCACAATATGGGGTAATTCACAGTAATTTCAGAACTAACTCAAGACTACAAAAAAGAAGCTTACTACTTAGAGTCAAATATTTGTGCAGAGGGCTTTTTTTTTTCTTTTTAGTCTGAGGGTATATATTTCAAGAACATTTTCAAAAGTATCTTGAGTTAGTTCTCTTTCACATGTTCAGTGTTACTATATTATTCATTAGAAATAATTTTGCTTTTCTTTGTGTATGATATGAATTATATGATCTCTTCTTGTTGATTTTATTTCTTTGAAAAATATATGTAACATTAATATGGTACAAAAGTCATATCTGTACAAAAAGGTGTAGAGTGCTCTGGCCGGTCTGCTAAGTGGTTAGAGCATCGGCCTGTGGTCCAGAGAGACCTGGGTTTGGTTCCCGCTAAGGGCATGTTCCTCAGTTGCAGTTTGTCCCCAGCCCTGGTTGGGTCGTGTGGGAGGCAGCCACTCAATGTGTCCCTTTCACGTCAATGTTTCTCTCTCTCTCTCTCTCTCTCTCTCTCTCTCTCTGAACAAAAAAATGGAAAAATGTCCTTGGGTGAGGATTAAAAAAAAAAAAAAAAGGTGTAGAGTGTCATCCTCTCATTCCCTCCCATCCTCTCTCTACCCTATGCCTGCCCATGTGACCCACACTGGATAATCTGACTTTTCCTTCCTGTGCTTTTTTTTTTCCTTTTTATCCCCCACAAATGAGAAAATCTGTGTATAATTTCTTTCGTCCTTCTTTCTTATACAAAAGGTGGTATAATATAGAAAATCTTGCACTAAAGTGAATTTATGGTTATCTTATACAATTCTTCAAAAACTATGTTATTTTTATTGGAACTGCATTAAAATGAGATACTTCGGGAGATTTTTCAACTTTATATTATTGATACTTCCTGTTCATAAACGTGGTATCTCTATTAGATCTTTGATGCCCTTCATTATATTGATTTTTTACATTACTGTTTTATCCAGCATTCTTGCCAAATCTACTTCTCTGTTAATATTTATGGAATAGATAATACATATACATCATTTAAAATAAAAAGGATATGGTACACATTAAGATGTCTTGCTTCCACCCTGTTCCCCAACCCCTTTCCCCACTAGTAGTCATCATTATTCATTTGTGACTACACTTTAAGTACTGGAACGTATTACATCTTTCACTGTGTTTGTATGTTCTCTTGGGTTCCTTCCTAATCTTTCCCCTCCAATTTATTTTGTGTGTGTATGTGTATTGTTGTCTTGGTGGAACTTCCAATATAGTGTTGAATATAAGTGATGATAGCAGATATCCTTGTCTTGTTCCTGACTTCAAAAGAAATGCTTCTAATTTTTCACCATTTCATATAATTGTATAGATTTTAGAAGAGAGATTTTCAGATTTAAAAAAGCTAATTTGCTCATTTAAACATCATGAATGAGTTGAATTTTAGCCAATAATTTTCTGCAGTTCAGTCTCTGTTTTGTTGCTAATAGTCATTATTTCTGCCTTCTCTTTTTAAAATTCTTAATCAGTTATGCAAGAGGTTTATCTATTTACCAGTCTTTAAAAAAAATTTATGATTTTGTTAATCCTCTCTATTATGTCCTTGTTTTCAGTTTAATTTACTTCTGTTTATTTTCTGTTTTTAAAATTTTAAATTTATTTTTCTTTAATTGAAGTATAACTGACATACATTACATTAGTTTCAGGTGTAGGTATACTCCTTATTTTCTTGGTTACCCTTTCTTTGGGTTTCCTTGCTTTCTCTTTACTAATTTCTTGATTTAAATGCTTAATCCATTGATTTTTCAGTCCTCTTTTCTAAAATATGTATTCAAGCCTATAAATTATCCTCTCTATACAGCTTTAATTGTATTCCATATTTCCAGTATATAATGGCTTTGTTGTTGTTTTTTTGTTGTTGTTTTTATACATTTTTTCCCCCTTTATTGATTTTTGGAGAGAGAGGAAGGGAGACAGAAACATTGATGAGAGAGAACATGATTGGCCGCCTCCAGCATGCCTCCACTGGGGATTGGGCCAACAACCTGGGCATGTGCCCTGACTGGAAATCAAACCAGTGACCTCTCAGTCCATGGGAGGACGCTCAATCCATGAAGCCACACCAGCTGGGCCAAATGTGGGTCTTTTGGCCTATCTTTTGGTTGTTCATTTATAATTTTACTATAGTGTGATCTTCATGTATTTGTTGAATCTGTCTTTGTGGTTTAGCACATTAATAATTCATTTGTGCTTGAAAAGAATATGTGTTCTATAGCTGTTAAATGCAGAGTTCTATGTTGTTGTTTGAGCTCTACATTGTTGTTTTTGTTTTCTCTTTTCTCGAATCCTCACCTGAGTATATGCTCTTTTAGAGAGAGAGAGGGAGAGATTGACTGATTGATTGATTTAGGTGAGAGACCAGGGATTGAACCCGAAACCTAGGTATGTGCCCTGACCGGGAATCAAACCTGCAATGTTTTTTGGTGTACGGGACAGTGCTTCAGCCAACTGAGCCACCTGGCCAGGGCACCTTGTTAATTGTTTTATTTAAATCTTACATATATTTAATTGTTTTCCTATTTAATCTATCAGTTTCTGAGAGAAGTGTATTAAAATCTTCAATTTTGACACTTTTAGCTTAAAAATGAAGAAACTGAGGCCCATCAAGTTTAAATGACTTGCTCAAGATCCCACAACCAGTTGTGACAGAGCTGAGGTAAGAATTCAGGTATTTTCATATTGATGTTCAGGAATAGAATATCCAGTAATTTTTATTTTGTTCATTTTTCTTACAATCACAATACTCCCTGTCAGTTTGGTGTTATATTGGCCAATGGAAAACTGAGGGACAATCTCATTATTCCCAATTTGATTTTAGACTGATGCACAAGTTATTTAAGCGACTTATATAATTTTGGGACAGTTATTTTCTATAGGTAAAGAAGCTATTACAGACTCCCACAATACCCCCACCTCATTTTCCATCTGTATCAAGGATAAACACCCTCAGCCAATAGTTCAACAGGAAGCAATGATTTAGAAAGACTAGTAGAACATCTCCTTCACTGGTCTTGACTTTGTTTATATTCTGATATATCACTCCCATTTTTTAAAACTTATTTATTTTTTTGAAATGAAAACTACACTAATGAAAAAGGAACTCAGAAACAAGGTTGTTAAATATAACTAAATACATTTCAAGTAAAAATATCATGTATTTCCTGATTAGTATCAGGTAAATACCTACACTATCCCAAATTCTGGTCTCAGATGAAAACAGTCAAAGACAATTACAAAGAAGATGCTTCATAGTATCAGGTTCATTTTAAAACAATGGGATCTTTTGAGATATCTGTTGGTCCTTTTGTTGGTGGTAATCCATATATATCTATTCTCTTACTTTGCCTTTATTTATTTATTTTTTTAGTTTATATTTATATTTTACTTATTATTGGTTCAGTTAGTTTTTTTTTTTTTAATCTTTATTGTTGAATGTATTACAGATGTTCCTCATTTTTTCCCCATTGACCCCCTCCTCCCTGCTCCCGCCCCCTCCCACCTTTTCCCACACCATTGTCTGTGTTCATTGGTTATACAATATAAGTTCTTTGGTTTATTTCTTCCCACCCCCCAACCCCTTTCCCTTTGAGGTTTGTCAGTCTGTCAATGAATTTGTACTTCTTAATCCCTTCACCTTTTCCACCCATTCCCCCAACCTCCCTCCCATCTGGCAACCAACAAAATGTTCTCTGTATCTATGAGAATGTTTCTGTTCTACCTGTTCATTTTGTTTGTAGATTCCATTGTTGATAGATATGTATTCATTGCCATTTTGTTTGTTCATATATTTTATCTTTTTTTTTTTTTCAAAAAGACCCTTCATCATTTCATATAATAACGGTTTGGTGGTGATGAACTCCTTTAACTTTTTCTTGTCTGGGAAACTCTTTATATGGCCATCAATTCTAAATGACAGCTTTGCAGGATAGAGTACTTTGCCTTTATTTTTATCATTGGATTCTTATATAGTTTTTCTGGGTCATACATAATTTACAAAGAAGGAAATCAGAGAGTAAATATATGGCTCCAGGAATTTTTTGTAAATCTTGAGTATAACTGGAATGACTATACATGAACGCTTGCCATTGTCCCAGGCTTGAGCTCCTACATAAGAGAGGACAGGCAGGGGGGGAGAGGCACCCAGAGGGACAGAAGGAGAACAGCTCACTGCCCCCAAATCCAATCTGCTATCCCACTGCAATGTCAGTCTCTGCTCTTGCACAGCTCCCCATTCAGTGTTCCTAAATCCAACCCTAGGTCAGGCTCTGATTTCCACATCCTCCTTTATCTTGAGGCAGGGCACACCCTGGGCTGGACCTGTGGAGTAGCTTGAAAGTGCTGCAGGGAGCCTACCCTGAACCCTTGACCAGGAGTCAACTCTGGCCCACCCCACTCCTGCTCACCCATGACCACCAAGCTCAAATGGCTCACTTCCATTTTTAGAATCTCCTTTCCAGACCAACATACTTGACTATATGATTTTTTTTTTTTTTTGGTACATGCCCCTAGCGGAAACCGAACCCGGGACTCTATGGTCCGCAGGCTGACGCTCCAACCACTGAGCCAAACTGGCCAGGGTGAGTATATGATTTTTAAAGCACATTTCAAGTAGAGATTCCCCAGACTTGGTCCCTACTTCATCATTTATGTAATGAGTAAATCTGAAGCTGATCAAATCTCAACTATCATGCATTAATGGCCATTCTGCTATCCCTTGCTTTACTTAGTTCCTCATCTCTTTGCCCTAAGAGGGCATTGTGTAAGGATAGTAAACACTCACTTTCAGGCTGACCAGAGCCAGATAGGCCCACACCTCAGCATTGTTGTTGTTCAATGCATTAGCTTCAGAGAGAGCATCCTCTGCCTCCGTGATCTCCTCCAGCTTGACAAAAAGAAAAAAAAGATGTGTGAGTTGTTAAGTCACCATAGTTTTCACTTAAGCCAGCTGGAGTCAGCTTATCTGAAAATACTATGTCTAAATAACACTGGTGTATGTGACCTATACCAATAGATTTCAATTTTTTATTTTATTTTTAGCAACAGAACTCTTTCTTCAAACAAAATTCTGTGTGGTGGCCCCATATATAAACCAGTCAAAAGTAAAACTGCTCTGCTTAAAAACCCAGGTTGGGGAATCTGGAGCCCTGTCTTCTAGGCTCTCAACTTACACCACTCTCTTCCTTCTTTCCTCCACAGCAGTCCCAGCAGGGCATCCATGAGCCATGGAGCTTCAGGTGCCAGAGTTGGAAAACCAGAAGTATTTACTGTTGTGTGTGCATCATTCAGTGATTTCCCCATATACAATGGGCTATCAGAGACATTTGTAGTTTTTTCCTTTATATTCTGCATCCCTTTCTTAAGGTAAAAGTCCTATTAGCCTGTCAAAATACTATCATTCAGAAAACTTCCTTTCCCCTAAAATTAGTTATTAACAGCACAAACTTGAGCAATCAATACAATACTCAGTGACTCCAGGGTGCTTCCTGAGCTCTGGTTACATGGGTATCATCGCTGCTTCCTAAAACTGTGATTTTGCTTTGTAAAATCTTCCAAAAGGCCACTTAGGAACGAATAAGTCACTCCTTTCCCCAATAAAGTAGCTCTTCCTATTTTCTGTTTTAGAAAATAATGGATTTCTAGGCCCAAGACAATATAAAGAACGACATTTCAGCAAATCCCATACCTTAGCCTATATTTTAAATGTCGCTGAGACACTGATTCATTATTCAATCAGTGTATATGTGCTAAGGATTTACTCTCTTATGTTAAATAAGAGAACTATGTTATGTTAAATACTGGGGATAAAAAGATGAACTATAGCCCTGGCCGGTTTGGCTCAGCGGTTAGAGCATCGGCCTGCGGTCCGGAGAGACCCGGGTTCGGTTCCCGCTAAGGGCACGTACCTCGGTTGCAGTTTGTCCCCGGCCCTGGTTGGTCGTGCGGGTGGCAGCCACTTGATGTGTCCCTTTCACATCGATGTTTCCCTCTCTCTCTCTTCCTCTCTCTCCCTCCCACTCTATCTGTGCAAAAAATGGAAAAATGTCCTCGGGTGAGGATAAAAAAAAAAAAAAAAAAAAGATGAACTATAAGCCCTGCCCTCAAAGAGTTCACTGACAGATATGTTAAAAAAGAAAAGAAAAACTCAACATATAAATAGTTACAATACAGAGTAAACATTTCTATAATAAAAGTATATTTATGATCTAGTGGAAGGACAAAGGAAAATAGTAATAATTCTACCCTGAGATTAAAGAACACTCTGAGAAGAAACATTGGTAAAGTAAATCTTGAAAGATAAATAGGAGTTTGAGTTTGTTAGCTGTACAAGGTAAAGAAAGGCATTCTATGTAAAAGAATATATAAATGCATTAAAAAGCATGGCATGCTCAGAAAACTCAAGTATGCCTCTGTAGCTGGAGGGGAGAGAGAGAGAGAGAGAGAGAGAGAGAGAGAGAGAGAGAGAGAGAGAAGACTAAAGAGTGTGGCAGAGACTAGATCATATTGCCAGGTAGTCTAATCTCTTTCTAAGGTTAGAGGAGAGGACGAGAGTTTTTAGGGGTGGTAGAGCAGAAGGTCTACCAGAAGCTGTAGTAGCTCCTCCTGAATAGAGAAAGGCCATACAGCTTAATAAATACAAATTAATTTAATTAAGATTCTTCATATCCCATATCATTTTTTTTTCTTATAGATAATATTATAAATTTATGAGCTTCTGTACCAAATAACATGGAATTTTTATTATATAGTTTCCTGGTTCAGGTTTCTGTGAGATTATTTTTTAATTTTTTTTCCTTTATTGATTTTTAGAGAGGAAGGGAGAGGGAGAAAGAGATAGAAAGAAACATTGATGAGAGAGAACATCAATTAGCTGCCTCCTGCATGCCCCTCACTGGGCATTTGGCCCACAACCTGGGCATGTGCCCTGACGGGAATCGAACTGGCGACCTTTTGGTGCATGGGTCGATGCTCAACCACTGAGCCGCACCAGCCGGGCTTTTTGTGAGATTTTAAAAAACTGTTTTGCCCTGGCCAGTTTGGCTCAGCGGTTAGAGCATCCACCTGCGGTCCGGAGAGACCCGGGTTCGGTTCCCGCTAAGGGCATGTATCTCGGTTGCGGTTTGTTCCCGGCCCTGGTTGGTCATGAGGGTGACAGCCACTCGATGTGTCCCTTTCACATCGATGTTTCCCTCTCTCTCTCTTCCTCTCTCTCCCTCCCACTCTATCTGTACAAAAAATGGAAAAATGTCCTTGGATGAGGATAAAAAAAACCCAAAAAACTGTTTTATTTTTCTGCCTGGCTGTTGTGGCTCAGTGGATTGAGTGCTGTCCCATGAACTGAGAGGTCCCAGTCCAATTCCCAGTCAGGGCACATGCCTGGGTTTGGGGCTGGATCCCCAGTGGGGGGCATGCAGGAGGCAGTGACCGATGTTTCTCTTTCACATTGATGTTTCTCTCTCTCTCTCTCTCTAAAAACATCAATAAAAATATTTTTTTAAAAAGAATGTTTTATTTTTCTACTTCAGTTTACTAAAAACTTTGAAGAGCAACTTTTCACTAGAGAAAACTGCCCTGATTGCCATTTCACTGTCGTCCCAAACTCCCAGGGTGCTTGAAAGACCAAAGAATCAAAGTCAGCTGTAGGCACAGGCTTAGTGTCAGCCCTCATCCTCTTACCCGATAACAGGCAATTCCCAGTCCTAGCCATGTGAGGCATGAAGGTGATCTCTTACAGGCTTGCAGGTAGGTTTTCTTTGCCTTTTCATACTGTAGAGAGAAAGCATCGCTAAGCTATTGTTTTTTGGAATCAAACATTGCATTGCTATGCTAATCACGGACAGCAGTTGCTGTCCAGACCAATCCAAGTACAATGAGTTCTTGAGTTGCATGTTTTTCTTATAATTTAATTGGGTGGGGGGCGGTTTTAGGTTTACAGCAAAATTGAGAGGAAAGTTCAGAGATTTCTCATATATCTCCTGCCCCTATACATGCATACCCTCCCCCACTATCAAAATCCCCCGCCAAAGTGGTACATTTGTTACTACTAATAAACGTACATTGGCACTTCATCATCACCCAAATTCCATGGTTTACCTCTGGGTTCACCCTTCCTCATTAGAGTATTTCTCCTGCCCTAAAAATTCTCTATGCTTCACCTATTCATCACTCCCTTTCCTCAACCTCTGGAAACCACTGATCTCTTTACTGTCTCCACAGTTTTGCCTTTTTAAGAATGTCATACAGTTAGAATCATGCAGTATGTAGACCTCTCAGATTGGCTACTTTCACTTAGTATTATGCATTTAAGGTCCCTTTGTACTTTTTCATGGCTTGATAGCTTATTTTCTTTAAACAATTTTTTTTTTCCTTTATTGATCTTAGAGAGAGAGGAAGTAAGAGGGAAGAGAGACAGAAACATCGATGAGAGAGAACATTAATTGGCCACCTCCTACATGCCCCCAAATGGATCGGGCCCACAACCTGGGCATGTGTCCTGATCGGGAATCGTACTGGCAACCTCTTGGTGCATGGATCGACGCTCAACCACTGAGCCATACCGGCCAGACAACAGCTTATTTTCTTTTAGTGCTGAGTAAAATTCCACTGCCTGGATGTACCACAGATTATTTATCCATTCACCTACTGAAGGACATCTTTGGTTGCTTCCAAGTTTTGGCCATTATGAATCAAGCTACTATAAAGATCCATGTACGGGTTTCTGTGTGGATATAAATTCTCAAATCCTTTGGGTAAATAGTTCATAACTGCTGCATTGTATGGTAAGAATATTTTCAGTTTTGTAAAATATCACCAAACTCTCATCCAAAGTGGCTGTACCAGCTTGCACTCCCACCAGCAATGAATAAGAGTGCCTATTGTCCCATATCCTTGTCAGCTGATGTTGTCAGTGTTCTCGACTTTGTCCAGATTTTGTGTGTAGTGGTATTTCACTGTTGTTTTAATTTGCATTTCCCTGATGACATATTATGTGGAGCATCTTTCAATGTACTTATTTGCCATGTATATATCTTCTTTGGTGAGGTATCTGTTAAGACCCATTCTTAAATCAGATTATTATTATTATTATTATTTGCAGGTTTTTTTGTTTTGTTACAGATGTTTCTCCTTTTTTACCCTATTGACACCCTCCTCCCCATCACTCCCATCCGTCCCCAGCTTTGTTGTCCATTTCCATTGGTTATGTGTACATGCATATAAGTTCTGTGGTTTATCTCTTTTCTCCCCCTAATACCCCCTCTTCTAAGGGTTGTAAGTCTGTTACCTACTTCCATGTTTCTGGGTCTACCCTATTCCTCAGACTGTTATATGCATTATATTCCACAAATAAGTGAGATCATGTGGTATTTGTCTTTTTCTGCTTGGCTTGTTTCACTTAGGATAATACTTTCCAGGTCCCTCCATGTCATCTCAAAGGATAAGAGATCTTTCTTTCTTACAGCTGCATAGTACTCCACTGTGTATATGTACAGCTTTGTTATGCATTTGTCTACTGATGGACACTTGGGCTGTTTCCAGATCTTAGCTATTGTAAATAGTACTGCTATGAACATGGGGGTACATATATTCTTTCTGATTGGTGTTTCAGGCTTCTTAGGGTATATTCCTAAAAGTGGGATCACTGGGTCAAATGGCAGTTCAATTTTTAATTTTTTGAGGCAACACCATATTGTTTTCCATAGTGGCTGCACCAGTCTGCATTCCCACCAGCAGTGTACTAGAGTCCCTTTTTCTCCACACCCTCGCCTACACTTGTTTGATGATTTGTTGATGGCAGCCATTCTGACAGTTGTGAGGTTGTCATTTTAATTTGCATCTCTCTGATGATTAGTATGTTGAGCATTTCTTCATATGTCTCTTGGCCATTTGTATGTCCTGTTTGGAAAGGTGTCTATTCAGCTCCTCTGCCCATTTTTTAATTGGGTTCTTTGTGTTCCTTTTGTTGAGTTGTATGAGTACTCTATATATTTTGGATATTAACCCCTTATCTGATGTATCATTGGCAATGATGTTCTCCCATACAGTGGGTTGCCTTTCCATTTTGATGGTTGTTTCTTTTGCTGTGCAGAAGGTTTTTAGTTTGATGTAGTCCCATGTGTTCATTTTTTCCTTTGTTTCTGTTGCCTTAGGTGATGTATCAGTGAAAATTCTGCTGCGTATGATGTCTAAAATTTTGTCGTCTATATTTTCTTCTAGAATTTTTATGGATTCATGGGTCACATTTAAGTCTTTTATCTATTTTGAGTTTATTTTTGTGTATGGTGTAAGTTGATAGTCTAGTTTCATTTTTTTGCATGTAGCTGTCCAATTTTCCCAACACCATTTATTAAAGAGGCTATCTTTACTCCATTGTATGCTCTTGCCTCCTATGTCAAATATTAATTGAGCATAGTGTCTTGGATCCATTTCTGGGTTCTCTATTCTGCTCCACTGGTATCTTCCTCTATTTCTTTTTTCAATGTCCTGTAGTTTTCTGCAAATAGGTCCTTTACTTCTCTAGTTAAGTTTATTCCTAGGTATCTTAATTTTTTTTTGCTGCGATGGTAAATGGGATTGTTTTTTCAGTTTCTCTTTCTGTGAGTTCATCATTGGTGTATAAGAATGCCATCAATTTCTTGACGTTAATTTTGTATCTTGCTACTTTGCCAAATTCATTTATTGAGTCCAGTAGATTTCTGATGGCGTCTTTAGGGTTTTCTATGTATAATATCATATCATCTGCAAATAATGACAGTTTCACTTCCTCCTTTCCAATTTGGATCCCTTTTATTTTTTCTTCATGTCTGATTGCTGTGGCCAAGATTTCCAGTACTATGTTAAATAAGAGTGGTGAAAGTGGGCATCCCTGTCTTGTTCCTGTTCTTAATGGAAATGTTTTTAGTTTCTGCCCATTGAGTATGATGTTGGCCGCAAGTCTTTCATATATGGCCTTTATTATGTCGAAATATGATCCCTCTATTCCCACATTCCTGAGCGTCTTTATCAGAAATGGATGCTGGATTTTGTCTAATGCTTTTTCAGCATCTATTGATATGATCATGTGGTTTTTATTCTTCATTTTGTTTATGTGGTGTATCACATTTATTGATTTGCAAATATTGGACCAGCCTTGCATCCCTGGGATGAATCCCACTTGGTCATGGTGAATAATTTTTTTGGTGTATTGCTGGATCCAATTTGCTAGTATTTTGTTCAGGATTTTGGCGTCTATGTTCATCAGGGATTTTGGCCTGTAGTTTTCTTTGTAGTGTCTTTTTCTGGTTTTGGAATTAGAATTATGCTGGCCTCATAAAATGAGTTTGGAAGTCTTCCTTCTTCTTGAATTTTTTGAAATAGTTTGAGAATGGGTGTTAGTTCTTTTCTGAATGTTTGGTAAAACTCCCCCATGAAGCCATCCGGGCCTGGGTTTTTGTTTGCTGGGAGAGTCTCAATTACCTCTTCAACTTCCTTGGTTGTTATTGGTCTGTTCAAGTTTTCTATCTCTTCCCGGTCCAGTTTTGGGAGACTGTGTTTCTAGAAATTTGTTCATTTCGCTTAGATTGTCGAATTTGTTGCCATATAATTGTTTATAGTAGTTGTTAATGATCTTTTGTATTTCTGTGGTGTCAGTTGTTACTTCTCCTCTTTCATTTCTGATTTTGTGTATTTGGGTTCTCTCTCTTTGTTTCTTGGTGAGTCTAGCTAAGGGTCCATCAATCTTGTTTATCTTTTTTAAAAACTAGCTCTTTGTTTCATTGATCCTTTGAATTGTTTTTTGGTCTCTATGTCATTTATTTCTGCTCTGATCTTTACTATTTTCTTCTTTCTACTTGCTCTGGGGTTTTCTTTTTGTTTGCTTTCTAATTCTTTAAGTTGTGAGGTTAGACATTCAATTAGAAATTTTTCTTGTTTCTTGAGGTAGGCCTGTAGTGCTATGAACTTCCCTCTCAGAACTGCTTTTGCTGCATCCCATAGATTTTGCGCTGTTGTGTGTTCATTTTCATTGGTTTCCAGGAAGTTTTTAATTTCTTCCTTGATCTCCATAGTAACCCATTCATTGTTTAATAACATGCTATTTAGCCTCCATGTGTTCAAATGTCTTTGCATGTTTTTGTTGCAATTGATTTCTAGTTTCATGTTATTGTGATCTGAGAATATGCTTGACATGATTTCAGTCTTCTTGAACTTGTAGAGATTTAGTTTGTGTCCTATCATGTGGTCTGTCTTTGAGAGTGTCCCATGTGCACTTGAGAAGAATGTGAATTCTGTAGTTTTGGGGTGTAATTCTCTGGAGATACCTATTATGTCCATTTGGTCTAGTACTTCATTTAGAGTCTCTGTTTCCTTGCTAATTTTTTGTCTAGAGGATCTATCCAGTGGTTTCAGTTGAAGTCCCCTGCTATGATTGTATTGCTGTCGATTTCTCCTTTGAAGTCCTCCAGAAGATTTTTAATATATTTTGGTGCTCCTATATTGGGTGCATATATGTTTATCAAGGTTATATCTTCCTGGTGGATAGATCCTTTCAATATTATGTAGTGGCCTTCTTTGTCTCTAGTTATGGACTTCATTTTGAAATCTATTTTATCAGATATGAGTATTGCTACCCCATCTTTTTGTTCCTCTCCGTTTGCTTGAAAAGTTTTTTCCATCCCTTCACTTTCAACCTATGTGAGTCTTTTGTTGTGAAGTGGGTCTCTTGTAAACAACATATAGATGGGTGATGCTTTCTTATCCAATCAGCTACTCTGTCTTTTTATTGGAGCATTCAGTCCATTTAGATTTAAGGTGATTATTGATATGTACTTATTCATTGCCATTTTGTTTAGTTTGGTTATATTTTTTTCCTATTTTTTCTACTAATTACAGCAGTCCTTTTAACCTTTCTTGCAGTGCTGGTTTGGTACTCCCTTAGCCTTTTTTTTGTCTGGAAAGCTCTTTATTTGACCTTCTATTTTGAATGATAGCCTTGCTGGGTAGAGTAGTCTTGGATTCAGATCCTTGTTTTTCATGACCTTGATTACCTCAAGCTGTTCCCTTCAGGCCTGTAGTGTTTCTGTTGAGAAGTCAGCTGAGAGCCTTATGGGGGTTCCTTTGTAGGTAACCTGTTGCTTATCTCTTGCTGCTTTTAGGATTCTCTCTTTGTCTTTAATTTTTGGCACTTTGATTACTATGTGTCTTGGTGTGGGCCAGTTTGGGTTCTTCTTACTTGGGGCTCTCTGTGCTTCTTGAACTTGAATGCCTTCTTCCTTCACCAAATTAAAGAAGTTTCCTGTCACTATTTCTTAGAATATATTCTCTAACCCTTGCTCATTTTCTTCTTCTTTGGGGACTCCTATGATGCAAATATTATTACGTTTCGTTGTCCCAGAGTTCTCTTAAGCTGTCTTCCTGTTTTTAAATCATTTTTTTCTTTTGATTTTCTGATTGGTTGATTTTTTCTATCCTGTCTTCTAATTCACTGATCTGGTCCTCAGCTTCCTCTACTCTGCTGTTTAGACCTTCCAATGTGTTCTTTATTTTTGATATGTTATTCTTCATTTCTTCTTGGTGGTTTTTAATCTCCAGTTGGTTGATTTTCAACATCTGTATGTCCTTACTCATGCTGTTGAGCTTCCTCAAGATCATGGCTCTTAAATCTAGCTCTGTTAACTTGCTTAACTGCTCCACATTTATGCCATCTTTGGTAGAGGTCTCTTGTTCTTTCATTTGGCTTTTGTTTCTTTGTTTTACCATTTTGGCTATCACAGTGGGCTTTGGAGCCTGCCAAATTTTCCCTGTGGGTGTTGGTATTCTGCTGTTTGTGGCTCCCTCTCTGGGGTTTGGAGGAGCGAGGGAGGACCCACGTTAAACACCACTGTCAAGTCTTACTTTCCTGGTTAGAGTTGCTAGCCCAGGAATGGTACAGTTATCCTCTAGCTTTTTGCCTGGAGGCTATCAGTAGCGGTTACTTGAAGAGCTTGGGTTCTCAGTTGAATGAAAAACTCCCTCAGGGGCTTAGCATAAGGGAATTTCCTGAGGGTGGGGCAGATGCTGGTTGTTAGTGATCCTCAATTTGCATTTCAATGGCCCACCTGGGTGGGGCTGAATCTCCAAGGGAGGGTGTGCTGCCTCTCCCCAGAACCATGGGAAGGAGTAAGATGGCCACCATTCTATGTGGCTGCAACTCCGCAAAAGCTCTGAGCCCCCTCCTAATCCCGAGTGTCCCCACACAGTTCCAGTCCAGTCCGTCCTCCCTCTGTTGGAGCCCAAGGTGAGTGGCCGTGGCTATTTTAGCGTTTGTCCCAGTTCTGCGCTGTAGAGCCACTTGGGAGTTTAACCCAAGGGCACTGCTCACAGCTAAGACTGCTGCTGTCTGTGGGCTCCCAGCCCCCCCTTGCACCTCTGCAGTCCTACCAGGATTGAGTCAGTGTCCCTGGTTATATGATCCTCGCCAGCTGCTTTTCTGTTGCTTTTTCCCGTTTACTTGTCTTTATTTTAGTTGTAGTTCCAGTTTGGTTCTGGGAGATGGTCTGTGTAGCTTCCATTCACTCTGCCGCCATTTTGGAATCCCAGATTATTTTCTTACCATTGAGTTTTAAGACATCTTTGTATATTTTAGGTAACAGTCCTTTATCAGATATGACATTTGCAAATATTTTCTCCCAGTTTGTGGTTTGTCTCTTATTCTCTTCACGTTGTCTTTTGCAGAGCATAAGTTTTTCATTTCATTGAAGTCTAATTTATTAATTTCTTCTTTCATAGATCATGCCTTTGGTATTGTACCTAAAAAGTCAGCATCATTTCCAATGTCATATAGGTTTTCTTCTATATTATCTTCTAGGAGTTTTATAGTTTTGCATTTTATATTTGTCCTATGATTCATTTAGAGTTAATTTTTGAAGGTATAAGGTCTGTGTCTAGATTTAATTTTTGCATATAGACGTCCAGTTGTTCCACCACCATTTGTTGAAAATATTTTCTTTGCTCCATTGTATTGCCTTTGCTCTTTTGTCAAAGATCAGTTGACCATATTTATGTGGGTCTATTTCTGGGCCCTCTATTCTGTTCCACTGATCTGTTTGCCTGTTATTGCTCTATTACCACTCTGTCTTAATTATTGTTGTAGCTTATAGTGAGTCTTGTAGTTGGGTAGGGGGTCAGTCCTCCACCTTTGTTCTTCTCTTTCAATGTCGTATTGGCTTTTCTGGGCTTGGAATGTATTTTATGTCTGTTTTCAGGGAGCTATTACAACAAGACTAGTGAGAAGAGAAGGATAGACTAAATTGGGCAGACTTTGACATGAAAGCAGTTCCAAGGCATTTATAGTCTCTTTAAGAGTTGAGGCAAGGAGTTATATGAAAAGTTCTGGGTGACCATGGTGATTATGTGAATTCCACCTAGACTTTATGGATTATACCCTTTTGCTTAAAAGTGACATCATGTGGTGGATGACAGATACAGAATCTCTGAACTAAGGAATATACTTGATAGAGCCTCATTATTCTGAGAGTCTGTGCCCTTGTTATAAAATGTCTTAGAAGCTTTCAGTAGTACAGGAGACATTTATAAAAACTAGAAAAAGAACAAAGAAAAGTAGTAGCCCTCAAAGGACCACTTCTTTTCCTGTATCTTCAATGTGAAAGATGGAACTATAGCTGAGTCTCAGCAAATAGCCTATGAGCTCCTTGCCTAGTGACTGCATAAATTAGCAGTTCTCAGATTTTTCTTATTTAGTACTGTAATTTTTCTCTTTCAAGCCTATGTGGGCTTTCCTAGTTAAATTATAAGGCACTGTAACTTTTTGTTGCTATTGTTTTATTTTATTTATTTATTTATTTTTTATTTATTTATTTTTTATTTATTTATTTATTTTTTTACCCGAGGACATTTTTCCATTTTTTTGTTCAGATAGAGTGGGAGGGGGAGAGAGAGAAACATCAACGTGAAAGGGACACATCGAGTGGCTGCCACTCACACGACCAACCAGGGCTGGGGACAAACTGCAACTGAGGTATGCCCTTTGCAGGAACTGAACCTGGGTCTCTCTGGACCGCAGGCTGATGCTCTAACTGCTGAGCCAAACTGGCCAGGGCAGTTTATGTTAAATATAAAGAAAACGAGGTGTTCTGGGGGGGAGAAATGGAATAAAGTTGAAACAAGAGCTCAGAATCAAAAGGCCTTTGGACCCTGGTCAGTTTGACTCAGTGGTTAGAGCATCAGCCCATGGACCAAAGAGTCGCGGGTTCAATTCTAGTCAAGGCATGTACCTTGGTTGTGGTTTGGTCCCCAGCTCTGGTCGGAGTCGTGTGCAAGGCAACCAATCAATGGATCTCTCTCACATCGATGTTTCTTTCTCTCTCTCCTTCCCACTCTATCTGAAGATAAATGGGAAAATATCCTTGGATGAGGATTAGAAAAAAAAAAGAAAAGGTCTTTGGAGAATGTCAATAATTGTTGAAGTGGGATGATGGGTCCATGTTGGTTTATTCTACTATTCTGTTTACTTTGTGTGTATTTGAAATTTTCCATAAGAGAAAGTTTCTTTTAAAAAATTTTGTGGCAGTTCCTAAAATATATATATATATATATATATATATATATATATCCTCACCCGAGGTCATTTTTCCATATTTTGTTCAGGTAGAATGGGAGGGAGAGAGAGCAACAGAGAGAGAGAGAGAGAGAGAGAGAGAGAGAGAGAGAGAGAGAAAGAAACATCGACGTGAAAGGGACACATCGAGTGGTTGCCATCCGCACGACCCAACCAGGGCTGGAGACAAACTGCAACCGAGGTACATGCCCTTAGCGGGAACTGAACCTGGGTCTCTCTGGACCGCAGGCCGACGCTCTAACCGCTGAGCCAAACCAGCCAGGGCGCATTTCCTAAAATATAGAGAGGAATTGCTAAAGAGGCAGGTTAGAATACCCTGTGAAATGGGGTTAGTCTCCTCCTTTGTGTTGAGGAGGAAGTTTGGAGAATTTATTTTGAGTCCCATGACACTTTCCATTAGTTAAGGCAAGCTAAGAATATTTCCACTACTGCTAATAAAGAAATTAGCATCATAATGGTTTTAAAATCACAGACTAATATGAGACTGCCTCTGTTTAAATCCTGTTTCTATTAATTACTGGTTATGTGATGTTGGGCAAGTCACTTTGCCTTTCTATATAAAAGTGCCACTATCATATTACTATTTTTAGTCCACACAGATATTAATAATTGACTATAGTCAAGTCCCAGACCAGGACCTGATTTACATGGTTACGCCCCATCCTCTATCCCTTACCTCTTTATCTTCCAGATAGATGTGCCCCAGTCGCAGGAAGATGAAGTGCATCTCAGAAGCATCCACTACAAAACTAACGGTTCTCTCATAGCATGCCTTGGCCTCAGCATGATTTCCACTCAGAAAATAGAGATGGCCCTTCAAACCCCAGACGTTAGGGTTCTGAAAAAGTGAAGAAGAAGTAGTACATTGGATGAGGTGGTATTTCAAAGTTCATTAATAAGCTTTGTTTAACAGTTAAATTTAGATTAAGTCTGCTTTCTTTTTCTTTTTTTTTATCCTCACCCGAGGATATTTTTCCATTTTTTGTACAGATAGAGTGGGAGGGAGAGAGAGGAAGGGAGAGAGAGAGAGAGACATCGACGTGAAGGGACACATCGAGTGGCTGCCACCCGCACGACCAACCAGGGCCGGGGACAAACTGCAACCGAAGTATGTGCCCTTAGCGGGAACCGAACCCGGGTCTCTCCGGACCGCAGGCCGACGCTCTAACCGCTGAGCCAAACTGGCCAGGGCTGCTTTCTTTTTCTAATAGCACTCAATTAGAAAGAGGGCCATTCAGTTGTACTGAAAGAGATTCGTAACAATGAAGCATAACAGTGATAGTGTTCACAGTTAGAAAAACAGAAGTCCAGAAAACTTAAAATAGATCAACTATCTGCTAAAGAGCTATCCTTACCTTTTTCTCTGCCCTTTGCAAAACTTATGTTTGTTTAAGAAAAACAAAAGGAAGGAAATAGACGACTTAACTGACAACTAATGACCTTCCCCCAACCTCTAGTAACCAGAAATCTACCTGTGATATGGCATCACCACCTTTTAAGAAATCTTGCTTGCCCCTTCTCCAACTAAACTCAAGAGGCTCTAGCAAAAATTATTACCAGGTAGTCCATCTGGGCTGCTTGTTGAAGGCATTCCTCTGCCTTGGCAAAGTCCTTCTTGAGAAGGTGTGTCTGAGCCAGCACCAAGTAATACTCACAGCTGGGGCCTCCTTGAGGACATAACAGCTCATGTGCAAGCACTCTATGCACATACTGCAAGGAGAAATCAGATTATAAGGAACATGTAAATGGCTGCATTATGTCAGTTCCATTGCAAAATGCAGACTTTTCCGAGTGGCTAATCGGCAGTATTACACAATGCTGGTCTTGCTGGTCGCCATACTAGATGGGTCTTAACCTGTATTTGTTATGCAGCAGACGAAGACACTTCATTTACATTTACGTGTGAGATAACATTTTCAGGCAGCTATAATTGTAAGGAAATTTACAGTGAGGCAAAACCTCCCTTTCTAAAATTCTAAACTCGGGATCTTGGAAACTGTTTCTGACACACTCTCAAACATTTGTTATGTTCATCAGTTTTATACTTAGAGCTATTCTTTACTTTTAATATTATACAAGGCCTGCAAATTTGACAGTCACTCGTACTTGCTAAGCAGAGGGGGAAGCCCTTCTTTTCTTTCCCCTCTGTTCCTATCTCAGCCTATGATATAGAAACTTCTGACCAGCCGGTTTGGCTCAGTGGATTGAGTGTTGTCCCATGGACTGAGAAGTCCCAGTTCGATTCCTGGTCAGGGCACATGTCCAGGTTGCCGGCTGGATCCCCAGTGGGGGGAGTGCAGGGGGCAGCTGATTGATATTTCTCTCTCACGTTGATGTTTCCATCTCTCTCTCCCTTCCTCTCTTTCTAAAAAATCAATAAAAACACATTTAAAATAACCCATACTGAAACTTATACTAACACTTATACCTTCTTAGGAAATACCTGGGGGAGGCTCTACAGCTCTTCCCTCTGCCTGCATTCTGGCTCTTTGGCATGGGTGACAGGGAGACAGAGAGCCTGTTTCCCTACTGGGAAAGTTTAATGTGGCCCACTCCCACTTAGTCCATCATTCTAGCCCTTTCTTGAGCTTGCCCACACTCAAGTGGAGTATGCACACTGCAAGATCAGGCCCACTCTCTTGTCTCCTGAATCTTGCTCTCTCCCCTATTGCTTGCTTCATGGATAGATTTCTTGTCTCCCATGTGGTAGATAGACCTCATAGAATGCTCTTCTCTGGGAGGAGGCTACCATTCTCCAGCTGTTCCATCTGTGACTGCATGGGTAAGCCAAATCTGGAACCAGCCAAATCTCCAGCCTAATTTTACCAAATAAAAAATTAATATTTTTATCACCCCATTTAGCACTGTGTATTTGTTCCAGTTGGTTGAGAACCTGAAAGGGAAGAAGGGTATGATGATGCTCCTGTGAATCCCCAACACTCACATAATATGAGTCCCCATAATAAAGTAATATTAGTCTACATATAACTCAAAGTCTGCATTTGCTCTGCTGATATTTTACAGGGAGCAGACTTGCGCTGAGGTCTTCTGATGCACTCGATATAGAGAGTAGTTCATGCTTGGATGCTTATCCCATTGGATTTACAGTGTACTCTCAAGCACATTTGATTTCTGTGTCATATATATTTAAATTTACAAAGAAACCATTATGACTAAAATAGGTAGTTCATTAAAGTTTTTCCATTAACTTGCTCTTTTCCAAATATTCTGACCTGTACAGCATTGACCTTCATCAAGAAGCGTATGGTCTCCATGAAGATGGTAGAAGTTTGGGAAACACCATAAGGGGTAGGATGCAGAAAAATTGATGAATCTTGACATTTTGATGCTTCTGAAAATATATTAAAAGAATAGATGATTACATGTTAAGGGGAGAAAATGTACGAAACGCAGATACACTAATGTAGCAGGAAGAGTATTCTAATCTAATATATGAGGGAGATTATAATCTGGAAAGCAATAGGTTACTCCATACCAATGGTCCCCATAGAGGATGTCTCAAAGGTTCTTAAGGTTGGTCTACTGGTAATTCCAAATGAAGTTACAACCAAATAAAAGGATATTTATTTATTAAAAATGTTTTTATTGAGTTTTTGAGGGAGAGGAAGGGAGTGAAAGAGATAGAAACATCGACGTGAGAAAGAAACATTGATCAGCTGCCTCCTGCATGCCGCCTACTGGGGATTGAACCCACAATCCAGGCATGTGCCCTGACCAGGAATCGAGCCAGGGACCTCTTAGTCCTTGGGACAATGCTCCATCCACTGAGCCACACCAGCTGAGCTATTTATTTGTTGTTAATTCTCACTGGAGGATATTTTTTTCCATTGATTTTTAGAGAGCATGGAAGGGAGGGATGGGGAAAGAGAAAGAGAAACATCAATGTGAGAGAGACATATCAATTGGTTGCCTTCTGCACATGCCGAGACTGGGGGCTGGGATCAAACCTTCAACCCAGGTACCTGCCCTTGACTGGGAATCTAACCTGAGACCCTTCTGTGCACAAACTGACACTAACCACAGAGCCACAGTGGCCAGGGCTAAAAGGATTTTTCAAAGTATTCAGATCTTCCTGAATGTGAAACAATCTATAGATATTCTAAAAATAAAGAATCAGAAAATCATAGGTCTTTTGTCAGCTACTTTCTGAGCGAAATATAAGTCCTTGTTTATTGAAAGAGTTGGATTTCAGAACCTACCCTCATATGAAGGCACTTAGGCAAAATGACAGATAAACTAATCAACTTCAAACAAGTTAAAGTTGCCATTTTTGTAATCATAGGAGTTTTCATCCTTGTCTACTTTGTTTATATCCCTCTTTCAACTGGAAATCTTTATTCCTAATTACCTCTTTTTGTTGATATCTCCTTGGCAAATTGGTTGGATGGTCTTTGGCTGATTGTTGGATCCTGAGATTGTACAGACAGAACTGGTTCTTGCAATTGTAACTGCAGTTTGGAGGGTTCTTCAAGAAGTTCATCTAGAATAGATGATGGAGCTGTTGGTCCTAAATAGATTAAATTTTAATAAGAGAAAAAAATAACCTCCCTACATTGAACATTAAAAGGTTATTACAGAAAATAAAACAAATATTTTCAAAGAATAAAACATATTCCTGAAATATGGACAGACTTGTTTTGCAGACTTTTTATATTTCTGAAGAGAACAAGCAAAACTGATAGCACAACTTCTGTTACTATAACTCCTAGTCCAATTCTGTTGCTAGTCCAAGTCATGATAAAGTCAGATACCTATTATAAAAGTTACTTGTTAGATACAGATTTTCAAAAATCCAGATGAAAAGATTAATATATTTTTAGATAAAAGATTAATATATTTTTAGATAATATTAAAATCCCTGAAGAACAGAATTATAATAATCTTATCTCATTGTTTAATATAATGATAATAATAATAATAATAATAATAATGTAGCTGTATTTGATCATGACTATATGCTAGGCATTATACTAAGGACCTTAATGTATAATCTCATTTATTTTTCACTCATTATGAGATATTTTATTTATTGTGCTCTTTTAAACCACATTGTATCACAGAAAAGTTATATAATTTGCTGAAGCTCTTAAACATGCCTTGCTGCCTCTCAAATAAACCCTGATGAGTAAAAATAAAAGCATTGACAGGAAGGAAATAAGCAGTGCCAGCTGGCTCTGTATTAGAAATGGTCACTCAGATAGAGCAAAAGATATGGCTTTGAAAAATAGGTAGACATTGAATAGATAGAGAGGCAGAGGCATTCAAGGCTGGGGGCAAGCCACTGCAAAAGCATAGAAGTAGTGAGCTAATTTATTTTGCTGATTATTGAGAAAATTAAGGAAAAGGGAGGTTGGGGCTACACTGTATTGATATTTGAATGCTGAGATTTTTCTTCTATAGGCAAAAGAAGAGGGTTACAATGAAGAAGAACACTGAGCAGAAAAATTAGATGAAAGTAGTATTTTATGAAGATTATTCCAAAAGTGTAATGTAGCAAGGAGAAAATGTAGATGGAGACAAAGAAGTCTGTAATAAGATTGTTACAACAGTATGGACATTTGGTAATAGAAAGTTACAAGGAGCATTTTGAAAGAGAACCAACTGGTCTTGGAATTAACCTGATATAGGGATGGGGGAAGCTCAATTAAGAAAGGAAAAGGAACAGGGATAAGACATGAGCTTAGGTGACTAATGTAAGAATGTAGAGTCAATTTAGAAGATGAGACATTGGGTTCACTAGTAGAATAATCCAGCTGCTGGTTTCTGGAGGGATGTCGGGGTTAAAGATAGATATTTAAGAGTTATCAGTAGTGAAATGGAAACTGTGAGGGCAGGTGGCCTCTTGGGAAGTAAGACTGTATTATTGGGAGATGATTATATCTAATGAGTGTGAGAAGAAAGAGAAGCTAACAAAGGAAACCCAATCTGATCATTGAAGGATAAGTGATAATCTCAATGAAAAAATATGTTGCCCTGGCCGGTTTGGCTCAGCAGTTAGAGCATCGGCCCACAGACCAGAGAGTCCCAGGTTTGGTTTCCGCTAGGGACATGTACCTCGGTTGTAGTTTGTCCCTGGACCCTGTTGGGGTTGTGTGGGTGGCAACCGCTCAATGTGTCTCTCTCACATTGATATTTCTTTCTCTCTCTCTTCCTCCTTCTCCCCCTCCTGCTCTATCTGAAGATAAATGCAAAAATGTCCTTGGGTGAGGATTAAAAAAAATGTGTTAATATTCAGCTTTTCTGGGGTATAATTTACATATTATAAAGTTTTCACTTTTAAGAATATATTTCAATGCATTTTAACAAATATATACACTTATGTAATGGCTATCACAAACAATGTACAAGAGACTCTAATGCCCGCAACAGCTCCCTTGTACTCTTTGCAGTTAATCCCCAATTCCCAGCCCAAGCCGACCACTGACCTTCTTTCTGTGTATATAGATTAGTTTTGTTTTTTCTAAAATTTAATTTAAATGAAATTATACAATATGTACTCTTTTGCATCTGGCTTATTCACTTAGCATAGTGTTTTTGAGATTCATCCATGTTGTGTATATCAGTCATTTGTTTCTTTTTTTTTTTAATCCTCACCCAAGGACATTTTTCCATTTTTTGTTCAGATAGAGCAGGAGGGAGAGAGAGGAAGAGAGAGAGAGAGAAACATCAATGTGAAGGGACACATCGAGTGGCTGCCACCCGCACTACCAACCAGGGCCGGGGACAAACTGCAACCGAGGTACATGCCCTTAGCAGGAACCGAACCCGGGTCTCTCTGTACCGCAGGCCGACGCTCCAACCGCTGAGCCAAACCGGCCAGGGCCATTTGTTTCTTTTTATTGCTGAGTGGTGTTTGATTGTATGGTTATAAGATGCTTTATTAACCATTCACCTATGTAGAGGTGACTGGGTTATTTCCAGTTTTTGCCAACTATAAATAAGTCTGTTATGAATGCCTATGTATACATCTTTGTAAGGACATGTTTCCATTTCTCTTCAGTATATACCTAGAAGTAAAATTGCTGGCACATGTATGTTTATTTTTTAAAATATGTTTTTATTGGCTTGAGAGAGAGAGAGAAACATCGATCTCAACTGGGGATCCAACCTGCAACCTGGGTATGTGCCCTTACCACAAATAGAACTGGCAACTTTTGGTACATAGGATAACACTCAACCAACTGAGTCACACTGGCCAGGGATGTTTAACTTCATTTTAAAACTGCCTGGTTGTTGTCTTGGGAGTACTGTCTATTCAGGTCCTGTTCCCATTTTTAAATGGGATCGTTTGTTTTTTGTTGTTCAGTTGAATGAGTTCTTTATATATTTTGGATATTAAGCCCTTATCAGAGGTGTTCTTTGCAAATATCCTCTCCCATTTGGTTGGTTGCCTTGACATTTTGTTGATGGTTTCTTTTGCTGTGCAGAAGGTTTTTAGTTTGATATAGTTCTATTTATTTATTTTTGCTTTTACTTCCCTTGCCTTTGAGGTCAAATTCATAAAATCTTCCCTAAGACAAGGTCCATAAGTTTAGTACCTATTTGTCTTCTATGAAATTTATTATTTCAGGTCTTATATTTAGGTCTTTGATCCATTTTGAGTTGATTATTTTTTTGTATGGTGACAAGTAGCAGTCTAGTTTTAATCTTTTGCATGTGGCTTTCCAGTTTTCCCAGCAACATTTATTAAAGAGGCTTTTTTTCCTCCATTATATGTTTTTTGGCTCCTTTGTTAAAAATCACTTGCAAGTACATGTGGGTTTATTTCTGGGCTCTCAGTTCTGTTCCACTGATGTGTGTCTGTTTCTCTGCCACTACCATGCTGTTTTTTTATTATTGTTGCTTTGTAGTGTAATTTGAAGTCAGGGAGTCTGATACCTCCAATTTTGTTCTTTTTTTTTCTCAGGATTGCTTTGCTTATCTGGGGTCTTTTGTGGTTCCATGCAAATCTGATAATTTTTTTTTTTTTTATCCTCACCTGAGGCCTTTTTTTCATTTTTTTTTCAGATAGAGTAGGAGGGAGAGAGAGAGAGAAACATCGATGTGAAAGGGACACATCGAGTGGCTGCCACCTGCACGACCCAACCAGGGCCGGGGACAAACTGCAACTGAGATACGTGCCCTTTGCGGGACCCCAGGCCGATGCTCTGATCGCTGAGCCAAACCGGCCAGGGCAAATCTGATGATTTTTTAAATTCTATTTTAATGACATTGGGATTCTGATGGAGATTGCATTAAGTCTGTATTTTGCTTCAGGTAATTGGCCATTTTAACTATGTTGATAGCCAACAGATATACGAAAAGATGCTCAACTTGCCCTGGCCAGGTAGCTTGGTTGGAGCACAATCCCATTCACCAAAAGATTGCAGGTTCAATTTCCAGTCAGGGCACATACCTGGGTTTCGGATTTGATCCCTGGTTGTGGGCATTTGGAAGGCAACTGATTGATGTTTCTCTCTAAAAAAAAATCAATTAAAAACATATACTCAGATCAGGAATAAAAAATTTTTAAAAACATGCTCAACTTCACTAGCTATTAGGAAAATGCAAATCAAAACTACAAGCCCAGGCTAGTGTGACTCAGTGGTTGGAGCATTGGCTCATGCACCAAGGGGTCACTGGTTCAATTCCCAGTTAAGGGCATGTACCTGGGTTGCAGGTTCATTCCCTGCCCCGGTCAGGGTGCATACAGGAGGCAACCAATCTATGTGTCTCTCTCACATTGATGTTTCTTTCTCTCTCTCTCTCTCTCTCTCTCTCTCTCTCTCTCTCTCTCTTTCTTTCCCTTCCTCCCACTCTCTCTAAAAATCTATGGAAAAAATATGCTCTGGTGAGGGTTAACAAAAACAAACAAATACTACAATGAGATACTATCTTACACCTTTTAGAATGACTATTATCAACAAGACAAGTAATAACAAGTGTGGGTGAGATTATGAAGAAAAAGGAATCCTCATTCACCACTGGTGGGAATATAAACTGGTACAACCATTATGGAAAACAGCCTGGAGCTTCCTCAAAAAACAAAGAATAGAGTTGCCATGTGACCCAGCAAGCCCTCTTCTAGGTATCTACCCCCAAATTTAAAAACATGTTCATTCATTGCAACATTATTCATGGTGGCCAAGACATCAAAGCAGTGAAGTTCCTTTATAGATGATTGGACAAAGAAGATGTGGTACATATATACAATGGAATACTACTCAGACATAAGAAAAGATGAAATACTACCATATGTGACAACATGGATACATCATGAGTATATCATGCTAAGCTAAATAAGTCAGATGGAAGAAAGTCAAGAACCATACGACACAGACAACAGTATGGTGGCTCCCAGAGGGAAAAGGGGGGCAGGGAGAAAGGTAGTAAAGGGTAAAGGAGGGTCAAATATGTGGTGATGGAAGGAGATTTAACCGAGTGGTGAACAATATACAGATGCAATATACAGATGATGTATGCTAGAATTGTACACTTGAAACCTACATAATTTTATATAAATTTATG